CCCTTCACGCCCAGGCTGCAGCGGGCTGCGTGGGAGGCCCGCGTCCCCTGCCATCGCCGACAGGAGGCCAGAGGAGCCCCGGGGCGAGAGCGGCAACGCACCTGCGATTCGGGATGTGATGTAGGAAATGTCCAGGTCTCCCTTCGCGTAACTGGAACCCGAAAGAACACGTGGTTAGGACAGGGACTTCCAGGGCAATGACGACAGCTGAGAGAGCGAGTCTGGAGCAGCCCTGGGTGAGCCTGTGTGTGTGCTCACGTGGATGGATGTGGGTCACTGCGTGTGAGCGCAGGCATGTGTGTGAGAGGCGGGGGGAGAGGCAGGAACCCACATAGGCCGTGACTCAGGGCTTGCCCCCCCGGGAGGTGCGACGGGGAGCTGGCCGTGACAAGAGGCAGCAAACATGGACGACCGAGCCTCTGACCCACCAAGGAAAGCCACGGGGCACCCCAAAGGCCAAGGCCCCGTCTGAAGGGACACAGCCAGCATCAGCCTCAGACCTGGGGGGTGCTGGCATGGCGGCCAGGAGCCTAAAGCAACGGTGACCAATGATCTAATGGACAAAGCGGACAGCAAGGACAGAGACAGTGTGGGCGGAGGGGCAGCCCCAGGAAGAGCCGCCCGCCCCAGGAGGGGGCACGAGGACGGCGCGGGGCTCCCGGCCGGGCACGGCTGAGGAAGCGTCTCCGAGCCACAGGACCCTCCACGTCAGAAAAGCGGGGAACAAAGACTGTGAACGCCAGACGGGCCCCAGGCTGTGGGACACCCACAGAGGGCCTGGCGCTCCCAGCAGGGGCACGAGAAGGAACAGAAATACTTGAGACAACAACGACGGAGCATTTCCCCAAATTCACGTCAGACACCAGACCACGAATCCAGGAACCTCAGAGAACCCCCACGGGGATAAACGCCAGGAGGCGTGCCTGGGCACAGAATCAGAGGAGAGGAGGTCCCGAGAGAAGCCGGTGGGCACACACCTCATCCACTGAACAGGACAAGGAGACAGACCTCTTTCTCCTCAGAATCCGGCTGCGCAGGGAGAGGGGCGAAACCAGAGTTGGAAGGAAAGCACACAGCACAGCTCCTGCCTGGGAAACCACCCTCCAAACATCAACACTTTTTTCTCAAAAACTGAAGGAGCTTGTTGCCGGCAGTCCTGTTTTGCAAGAAATGTTAAGTTTTCTAGAGAGAAAGGAAATCCTATGGGCCAGGAGCTCAGAGCCACATGAAGAACAGAAGAGCATCAAGAAGGAGTAGGTGAAGGTAGAGCGAATACCTCTGTTTTTGTTCATCTTAACTATCTAATAAGAGAGTCTGTTCAAAATATTAGTGGCAACAGTGTCTGTGTGCTCAGCACTCACTGCATGCGTGTATGTGCGCGCGTGTGTGCATTCATGCGTGTGCATGTGTGCGCATTCATGTGCATGTACGTGCGTGAGTAGGTGAAGGTAGAGCGAATACCTCTGTTTTTGTTCATCTTAACTATCTAATAAGAGAGTCTGTTCAAAATATTAGTGGCAACAGTGTCTGTGTGCTCAGCACTCACTGCATGCGTGTATGTGCGCGCGTGTGTGCATTCATGCGTGTGCATGTGTGCGCATTCATGTGCATGTACGTGCGTGTGCATTCGTGTGTATGTGGGTGCATTCGTGTGCGTGTGTGCATTCGTGTGCGTGTATGTG